ATGGAATAATACCTTTGAGAATATGCAAATGCTTTTCTCCTATTTTTGAAAAACTTCTACATTTTTCACAGAATCATTGGACAGAGGTCAGATGGATTATTCTATTTATCCAAGCCTTTCTTTAAAGTGAGATCATGGAGGTGCACTTAATATAGTATTTATCAACCTATTCCTAAGTATTTAATTATAGCATTGATTATTAATATCTAGCAGGGATAATGCCTTGTGGACTGAGAATGATGGATATTGTAATTCAGCATATCTAGAAAGGGTCAGCTTGGGAAAGGACACTCTAATAGTGGGTTTCTGTAGCTTGGCAAGTTGATCAGGATGTCCAATCTTTAGCTATGGTGAATGTTCTACTGCCAAAATTCAGCTCTGGAGTATGAGCTTTGTCCCATTTAATCATCTCTGCTCTTTCTTCTTTGATAGATCTAATTTCCAAATTCATTAGCACCATCTGGAGTTTAAATGTTATTGATACTGGTTTTGGATATGCATAGACATAATTATGGCTCATCTCACTGGTTAGACTCAAATGTTGTTTACCCATTGGCTGGCATCCAACTTGCCAATGGGCTTTTGGCAACATCAGTTGTCAATATCTGAAGCCAGTAGGCAAAATGTTAAAGATGAAATTCAGCTGCTAAAGTATTGTTGCCTTCCCAACCACCAAGATGGCATTGTGTCACATTGACAGGCAGGGAAAGTCTGATTTTAGTAGAGTACCAGTGGAAAGATGTAAGTTCTAGAGTTCAGAAATAGTGATTAATAAATAATTTGTATGGTACCATTCATATAATTTTCTAGGGCCAAATCAAACAAACTACATTATAGCTTCTTGTAATGGCTTAGCACAATAAGTAAATCCAAACTGTGTACTTTCTTCTATCACCAAGAAGCTGATAAGGTCTTCTTACTGCAGTCCATTTCAACCCCCCCCCCAAGAGTGCTAATGAAGTTAAAAATAATTCCCAAAGCCCTCCACAATTCCTATGGCATTCCTGTATTTTGGGTGACCTTACCTCCTTGGTTTCAAGGATGCTTTCTAAGGAAGACCAAGTGTTGAATTATAAACTGAGGAATGTTCAGTAGGATTGTGTAGGTGGTCCAGGGCATGCTGTTATTCTTCCTCCATTCAATATAACCCCTGGTTATATTAATCCTGGACTACATCACTTTGAAGAGGCAAATCCAACTCCAGGTCCATCACAGCTCTAGAAAGAAAGCAGCCCTCTGCAGGGACCAGAACCCAGGCTGTAAAGATTATTGCACCTTCTTTTTTGTGGTTTTTTATACATATTGCAGCATTCTCAGAAGCTTTTCAAACTGTATAAGTCAGTGAAACACACACACACACACACACACACACACACACACACACAGTTCCAAAGCATGATTTACAAAGAAAAATAAATCACAGTAGATTTTCTCCTTTTAAAAAAGTCATTGTGTTTGATGCAATCCTAAATTTTGACTTTTCCCATTTCTTGGCCCCTTTTTAATCAAGTAAGAATGCCACCACCTGTCCTAATGATCAAGCTTCTCTCCCTACCTTCTTGAATTATAAAAATCTGATTTTTATATGGTATGACCTTGATTATACAAAAAGCAAACAATATAAAGATCATTCAGTTGAAAAGCAGGGAGGTTTTGGAGAATCTAGCATCTGAATTCAACTATAGCAACCTCTCTCTTTCAATTTTTTAAAAAAACAAAGCATATACAAGGGATATGTCATCCAGAGGTCATTTTTTTTTAGATTTCCAAAAGTGGTCCTGGCAAATTGAAGCTCATATTGGAGAGGTACTTTTCCAAAAGAGCGAATATTAATAAGGTGGGGTCAAATATAGAAATCTAAACCAATATAGCCTTTCCATTTGTATCCTAATTTATGGGACACAATTTAAGTCCTGTATATGGCAGCACTTTTAGTCTTGCATCTAAGAATTGACCCAAGATGTTTTTGATTTCCTTGTTTTTTTCCTTGAAGACATTTTGCTTCTCATCTAAAAAGATTCTTTAGCTCTTTCAGCTTCTTGGATGAAAAGCAAAAGGTCTTCAAGGAAAAAACGAAGTCCAGTTGCCTTTCGAAAAAAACCTTTGGGACAACCATGACCTGTATAACTGAGAATCTCCACGGACATTTAAGAATTGACTTCTATCCTGGCCATTGTCTTCTCATATGCCCAGGAAAAAATCTGTCATACCTAATATCTGCCTGGGTCAAACACAGCCAGGTCACCCTTATCCAGCTATCCAGTTATATTCTTCTAATATATGACGTATAATGGCATACACAGCTGTCATCACAACCTGAGATGATGGGCTACGAAGTGCTGGAGAAAAATATTGGCACATATTCTCTGAGAATCACATTTTTTTGGCTGGTTTTATACATTTGTACTCTCAAGTTGGCTAGATTTAATAGTGCTACAGTATTACTATACAGGACTACTTATGAAAATATTGTAATGAAACTAAAGCTAGTGTCACCTGTCTTGCTTGCTCTCTTCCTTATGTAGCAAAGCTTTCAGCCAGCATTTGCACTTTCATATGTATATGTATGTGAGTTTTTCACGCTTCAATAGATTCATTTTTTATTCCCAGCATCAGGTTCCTAACTAGCTTTCTCATTGTCTTTTGCACCTTGAATTTCAGATTTGTAGCTCAAACAAATTGGATAGACACTGACTCAAGATAAGACTAGGTGATCAAAATTATATTATCTTGTTAGACTGTTTAGTTTGAAGAATTCTAAATCTTTTTTTAAGATGCTGAATTATTTTGTAATGCTTTTTTGTTTACTTTTGTAAGTAAATTATGACGTTCCCATTTTTATATATGTGAAAGTTGATCGCTGCCCCATATTTTCTGACTGACAATTTCTCCCCCTGCTATACATTAATAAAACTAATACATTGATATTTTTATGCACTTGAACTTATTCCTGCAAAATTGTGCATGGTTATTAATGTATTAATTTTTATTATTGTTTGATAAACAATTATTTACTGACTATCTTCTTCGGCTGGAATTATATCCTGAAGAGAGATTGAACATTTACGAGAAACTTCAATAAATTCAGATCTTTCCCAGTTCACTAAATCCTGCTGAATAATGCAAGATAAACTTTCACATCAAGTGAAAATAATTACTTGAATTTGAAAGGAACTGAATGATTAGAAGTTAGAAACATGCAATAAAATAAGGTGTGAGGACTGCTGTGAAATGCATATCCTGACTTACAGCTCATTATCAATTATTGATAATTGATTTGTTCATTTCTGAGCCTTGTTTTTCAATGTAATTATTACAGCATTTGCTCTATACTGTACTAGAAAACACAACTATACAAGCCAAAAGCACTGCTTAGTCACTGTGACGCTTTATAAATTTTCTATAGATAATTTTGATTATCCTAAAATATGCATAGGTGCATATTGAATTATGTATGTCCGTATTTTAAAATCCAGAGGCTTAATCCTTTTTCTTTGAGACAAAAGATATCTACTGGAAGAATAGATTTTAGGAAAAGGGAAAAATTAAGCAGACTGGAAGAAAATAGATTTTATATAGTGCTTCTCCCTACATTAAGAAGTATGATTGGAAGGGCAAAATTTTACTAAAATATCAAGATTTTTCTTTATAACTTGAAATTATTAACTTTAAATAAGCAGCATAGCCAGATTCTGTTTACTAAACTAAATTCTCTGAATCAGTTCTTGTTGACAGACAAAACATTTGATTCTTAATAGTTTACAGTTTCTTTTATAGGAAGTTTGTTTCATTAAACCTGGGGCTAAAAGAGATCTGATTAATCTAAATTCTGACAAGAGAACCTTTTTGAACCTGAATATATATTCTGGTTGTGCTTTGCATATATGAGTCATATCCATTTGGCATGGAAAATACAAGTATTTTTTGTTGTTGCTGTGATTTAATTTTTCTCAATTATTTTCATATAATCAGACAAAATAAGGTTAAAAACATTGCTAAATGTACTGAATGTTTATTCTTTATTATTTATAGTAGGCATCTAAACAAAAATTTTATAACACAATCTATTTTTCAAAATTAAACACTTTTTGATTTATATTCATACCACACTTTTGATTATATTTAAAAAAAAATTAAGGAGTAACTTACATAAAATGAAAACTTGGAAAGTGGTAGTGGAGGGCCATATTTAAGTTAACTCCATATTGAAGCTGTTGATATTTCTAATTCAAGTGTTTAACACATTTTAGTATAAGGAGATATTTTAATTAAGCAACAGGAAAAGCCAACATTAGATTATTAAACATTAAAGTATTTTTAATAATCTAAATTTTGGTTTTGCTGAAAAAAATCTCAGATCACCCCATGTCCCAGTATAGGGAAATGAATCTTTGGCAAAATAATTTTTAGCTTTTATCTTCTTGGTTTGCTTAAATAGAGTCAAGATTTTTATGAAGCAAGCAGGAAATTAAAATGTCAAATTGTTGTCATTCCAAAAAAATATTGAAGTTAAAACTTAGGTCTTGGTTGTTTTCTTGATATTTTTTTCTGCAGATGTTGGCATCATTAAGCAAATATATTTAAAGTGAAAGAGCACATCTGAGGAGTCATTTTATATAGCACTGTTAATAAACATTTGTGATCTGCTGGCAAATACCTAATAAAAGTGAACCTTGATAGTAGTTTAATGTTTCTATTCTTTTAGTTGATTGTCTTTACAATGCCTGCTGCTTATAAATTACATTCCAATATATTATTCTGATGCCACAAATGACTGAGGCAGACACAATGCTTTTCAAGCAAAAGGAAAAAATCTTTTAAGTATCACCCTTCCAAAATGAAAAAAAGGGAGGTGAGCACGTAGGAACTTTGCACAAATTCTGAAAACGCAAAATGATGAGAAAAATGAATCAGGATGAAGAGAGAATGCAAATATACTGAAGTAGGGGAAAAGGAGTAAGCTGCCAAAAAGTTTGAGATGAGGAGAAAAGAAATCTTACCACCAAATAGGGTAACCGGCTAGGACCTTTGTATCACCGAAGAAAAAAGCTAAAGTTAATCCAAGCAGGTGGTAATCCATTAGTCCAGGCTTGGTGCTGAGGAGAAGAGCACTCTCCACGAAGTTTGCAGAAAAACATTTAAGGACCCCAAAAAATCAAAACAAAACAATCCCACCCTGGAAAAAAAAACCACAGGTATTTCAACCCCCCACCCTCCCCCCTCACATGTACACACACCCCCAAAGCCAAGAAATATTCCTGAAGTGGAAAATGACTTTATGCTGGTCAGAAATGCACCTCGCTGAACCTTTTCCCCCACCCACCCCTGACAAACTACCAAAGCGTCTATTAAAATGTGCTGTGCTTTGGAGATGTCAGGAAGCATCCAATCAGATCGCACGGCCTAAGGTGAGGGATGAGCCTATAGTTCAAGGCTGTCAGTCATCCCAACATTTCTCCCCACACACACAAACACAGCAATGTAGTGCTTGTTACAGAGAGTAATAGGCAAACCTTGAAAGAGAGTTTTCTAGTGTATTCCCTTTGTGTTTTTTTCCCGTTTTTTTTTCTCCATGGGATGTACAGTTTATGGCTCATCTGCCATGACATGATTAAGCTTAGAAGGTAAGGTGAGAGTGGGGAATTTCTTCAATTTCATGCTTTCTAGGGCTCCTTATGTATTCCTCTGCCAGTTGGACGGCAAGTACAAAATGTGAATTTGCAGCGATTTAAGATAGTTAAAGAGCTAATATATGAATTGCACTATATTTCCTACCTTACATCAAGGTCTCAGTTCATACTGAGACCTATATTTCTAAACATTCTTTTTAAACCCTTCAGACATTTATGGGTTGAGATGCAACAAGTTGGGTCAACAGAGATTAATTTATCCACACAGGAAGAAACCATTTTCTGAATAATTTGTTTCCCATGAAATGTCAAAATGTATGCCATTTTCTTTCTATGTTATTTTATTCTTGGGTCCTTTGACTGTATGTAATAAACTTTTCATTCATTCTTTCATTCACATATTTAATAGATGGAGTTGCATAATAAAATAGGTTCTAAGCAATTGACTATATTAATACCCTTTTGGAAAGAGAAATTTCAAAACATATTGGCAAAATATTAACAAAAACATATTTATGTCAAAAGGTCTCCTATCTGTCCTGATTCTAGTGCTATTTGCATACCATAATATCGGTAAATGGGGCCAGGAGAAGGAAGAGAGGAATGTTTAACTGCATGCGTATTTTGGCCAATGCAGGATTAAGATTTCAATTACATACATTGAACAAATCGAGGAAAAATCATTCATGAACTCAAAAAGATTTTGCACATTCTATTATTTTGACCCTATGCAAGAATAATGTAAAAAAAAACAAAAGGAGAATTACCACCACACCACCTTGCTGGATATAGGAAGCTGATTACATCCTGAACGCTTTCATAATATGAACAAGAAGAGAAAGAATATTCTCCCTTGGACCCCTACTTCCTCCTGGATAATCTGTAGAATGGCAAGTGAATCATAGTATTTGAAATCAAAGAAATATATTTAATGGCCATTAATATCAGTAAATGGAATACAATTGATGAGGCAATATTGTGGTTTATGAGAAATAGTTCAGTATGTCACACCCCTAAGTGACAGCGACTATCTAGAGTCCTGGTCCTGTCAGCTTCGGTGGAGAGTATGAATGTCTTGTCTGCCACTGCATTTCAATTATGGATTCCCTGAAGAAGCCCACCTGGCCTCATCTCTGCATGTTTAGTTTCAAGCATATAGCCTGAAACCTGCCACAAAAAAGGATAGGAGATGTTTTGGATGTGATTGTTCTTTCATGGCGCTATTGAAGGACTTTCAATCAATTAGTTTATTTAGAGATAGGCATATTGTTAATTGATTTTGCATTCTTTTTTTTAATTTCTGCTTTCCCTACATTTGTTTTTAATTGCTTTGAGAAAATGAGGCAGAAATGGTTTAAGTAAATAATTAAAGATATTCAGTTGAAAAACACAGATAATTTTTCAGCTATAAGGCAGTGAAGGTGCATAACCTGCATCAAGGAAATCTGGCTCCAAATTCTCTGTCAGCTACAGAAGCTCCCTAGGAAACTTTCTCAGCTTGATATAACTTGCAGGATTGTTGTTGAGAAACAAAGAAAGAGGGAATGATGAAATCTAATGAATAATTGAATATAGAAATAGATAAGTAAACAAGGTGATTATAAAAGCAGTTTTCTGCATTCAAGCTACTGCTCTTTACAGCATATCCCTGCGTGTAATCTGAAAACTAAGTAGCCTGGGAGGAAGGATTAAAAATATATTTTTACTCTTGAACAAGGGATTGTAAGAAACTAGGATCCTTCAGATTTGTTAATTTTCTAAAGATAATAGGGTGATCCACCCAATCTTTTCACTTCTGCAAATGGTTTTCATGACAGGAATAAAGAATTATGACACCCTACTGGTTTATCTTCAAAGGCCTGGATGATGTACATGTCTCAACTTGTGAAATTTAAAAATTCATAATATGGCTGAACAATAAATTTGATGGATTATTTCTTTATAAATAAAACCAGTGAGCTAATATTTTGTCTTTGTCCTGTAAAATCTGGAATTATTAACACAAACTGCTTAAGCATGAATAATGACAATACTAAAATTCAAAAAGAAAAAATGTACAGGTCTTTTCTGTTAAAAGATATATGTGCCCCCAAAATGAATTGTTTTCCCTGCTTTTTATAGGAACAGAAGACATTCCCTTTTACACAGTTAGGCCAATAGAATGTCTACGTCAGGACTGACTTGGTTCACATCACCCCTAAAGTTATCCTGTGGTTTCTTTGGGTGTTGGGTTTGTGTAAGCCCAGCCAAATATAATTTAAGACAATTGAACCCATGATGGCAAAACCTAAAGTAAGTGAATCCAGTGATGTTCAGATAGTGATTCTCCAGAGTCTACTAGAAATGACAGGAATTAATGTAGGGATATTTTCCAAGAAAAGCATGTTGTGTACTATTGGATCGTGTCACCTTTCAACTAATAATGGATTCCACAGTGTGAATATAGAACTTGGAGGGATTTAATGTATTAACTAAACAGGGTGCTGTAAACTTAGAAGAAAATTCCTGTGCAGTGTCTCCCATTTCAGGCCGATCTTGCTTTTATTAGCTTGACGAAGGCTTCTGTTCTGTTTGAAAGCCTGCTCTAGCAACTGATACATGGAGAGTTCAGAGCAGCAGTCAAAGGAACACAAAGGCTATTGATTTTTAGCTTCAAGCAAGTAGCTTGATTTCTAGTCAGCAGGAGAAACAATCAGGCAAAAACAGTTCAAACCTTGAAGCTTAAAGAAACAGAAAACAGAGTATCAGCTGATCAGAAAAACATCCATTGCTTTCGCTTTAGAAATTGTTTAGCCAAATAGTCCTAAGCAGGCAGACAGGGAAGAAGGATGGTATAGCTCGTGACAGCAGCAAGATTGGACCAGATTGCATCTGGATATTTTTCTTCCCTTATTTGTTAGTGTTCATAGCACTTTCTCCTGACTACCTCTTTGTGACTTATCCCAAATCTCAAGCATAGATTTGAGCTGGGGTCTCTCTCTCTCTCTCTATATATATATATAGATACACACAGGTGGTCCTTGAGTTAAAACCATTCATTTAGTAACCATTCAAAGATACAGCATTGAAAAAGTGACATGACTGTTTTTCACACTTACAATCGTTGCAGCATCTCTGTGGTCACACAATCAAAATTTGGCAACTGGCATGTATTTATGACAGTTGCAGTGTCCCAGGGTCATGTGATCACTTTTTGTGACTTTCTGACAAGCAAAGTCAGTGGGGAAGCCAGATTCGTGTAACAAACATGTAAGGAAGGACAAATTCTCTCAGTAGTGTATAAATATATTCTGCCATTTCCATAGATTAAGAGACAATTTCTTATCATGTTGGACTTCTTAGAGAGCCTGGTGGTTGGTTCAACATATCTGGAGGGCATTAAATTGTGGACACAGAGACCACCAATGAAAGATTCATGTCCAAAGGAATGCTGGATGCTGACCACAAACAGTAAACGAAGATTTTGTGCCTTCTGCCTGGCTGTATATAGTACACTGAGCCACAATGGGGTTTGTTGGGTTTAGTGTGTTCTGCTACTGCAATCATCTATAGCTGAGTTAACCAATTGTGATTTTAAAAAGCTGGTATCCTAGTGTCATGTGAATCTAGGCACTGTTTTGGATTATTTTTAAAAAAATTAGGGCATCCGGTTTATCTCTATGGGAAGCAGAGGCATGATATGATGCAGCAGGCTCTACGTTGTTTTCCTGCTGGGAACATCCTTGGTTTAATTCAGTCAAGCTTCAAGCAGCCCACCCTACCCAAGCAGTGATTCCTCCGATCTAGAGGGGTTGTGTTTCCATGAAGTTGAAGAGCTCTCATCTCCTGTCTGTGTTGCTTTTCTCATCTATAAACCTCCCCCCTTCTTTCTGTTCCAACCCTTAAAAAAAAAGTCAAACTGTAAATGGCCACTGGATTTTGCGCTTCAGGGCACAAGCTAAGTTAAGGCATTTGCCTCTACTTGTTCTGCATTCTGCAGCATAATGGCCTCGTTGCCCTTCCAAGGGTGAAATTCATCCACTAAGCAGCTGTCTTGATTTCCCTGAAAATTACCTGAGGCAGCAAAAGGAGATTTACGCTGGTTTTGGAAGTTTGTTTGAGCGACAAATTCAGAAAGATGTCTGGAAGAGTCTGCAAAAAATAAAACCCCTCAGCCCAAAACTAGACAAGAAAAAGATATGGCATGACTAGCCCCAGTAAAGTTACAATGCCATCTTTCTGGAAGGAAGAATGGAGTCTGTAATCACCAAACTGAAAGCTCTAGAGGGGTTTTTAGACAATGTTACTTAAATATCTCTCATTGAATACTATCATGTTCTCATGGAACTCATGGCATCACTTTGGAAGCCCTGGTGGATCTGACCACAGTTTCCATCTAGTCCAACATCAGGTTTCCCAAAGTGCCAAAACAAATGGGACTACAAATCTACAAGCATAAGAAAAAACTCTTGTACACTAATATGTGATATTCAAAGGTAGACAAGTTCTCTGCTTGGAAGGTCCTTTTAAGTATTTGTTTTCCAAATCAGTAGTAAAGGAAATCCAAATTTTG